CCAACCACTTAACAGCCAAATGATTTTCGACAAAGTGCCTAGGCAAATTGCATGGCAAAGAGACAGTCTCTTTAACAAATGGTGCTGGCAGAACTGGAAAGTGATATGTAAAAGACTGAGACAAGACCTTTTCCTCACACCCTATGCAGAAATGAACTCAACATGGATTAAGGATCTAAATGTGAATCCTAAAATTATGAAGATCATCAATGAAAAAATAGGGACTAACGTGAGGGCGCTAATTCAGGGAATATTCAGACTGCCACACATTTTGAAAAATACGCAAACAAAAATAGACGAGTGAGACATACTAAAAATTAAAAACTTGTGTGCATCAAAAGACTTCACCAAGAGAGTAAAAAGGGAACCCACAGACTGGGAAAAAAATCTTCTGCAACTACATATCGGATAAGGGACTCATCTCTAAAATATATAGGAAATTACTACACATCTACAAAAACAAGACAAATAACCCAATCAAAAAATGGGCACAGAATATGAACAGACACTTCACTAGGGAGGATATCCGGGCAGCCAACAAACATATGAAGAAATGTTCACGATCACTAGCCATTAGAAAGATGCAAATCAAAACAACAATGAGATATCATCTCACACCAGCAATAACAGCAAAGATTTAAAAAGTTGAGGACAATAAATGCTGGCGGGGCTGTGGAGAGACTGGGACACTCCTGCATTGCTGGTAGGACTGCAAAATGGTCCAACCTCTCTGGAAAGCAATATGGTGCTTCCTCAGAAGTTGAAAATAGAAATACCATTCGATCCACCAGTAGTAATTCCTCTACTGGTTATTTACCCACAAGACAAACAATCCACAACACGGGAAGATATATATATATATGCACACCAATGTTCATAGCTGCACTATTTACAATAGCAAAAAGATGGAGTCAGCCAAAGTGCCCATCAACTGAAGAATAGATTAACAAGCTATGGTACATACACACAATGTAGTATTATGCTACCTTGAAAAATAACAAGGAAGCTGCAAGCCACTGCATAACATGGATGAACCTTGAGGACATTATGTTGAGTGAAATCAGTCACAAAAGGAAAAATACTGCATAGGACCACTAATGTAAAAGACTAAGAAAAAGAACCCATACTAATCCACTAAAGTGGATTCTTAGTTGTTTGGTAGGATGTAGGAGTAGGGATAGGGGTGGGAGGGGAAGGTGGAGCACAGGGCAGGGAATAGACACAAGATAATTTGGGTATTGGGTAGGGAGGCAATATACAAGTAGGGAGAGGGGAATCGAAGAACAAAGCAGATGGGAGAACAATTAGACAGGTATGAATGGGCTAAATGGGACAGAGGTAAAAAATGATGTAGGCACAGCTTTGGAACAACAGGGCTCTGGAATACAGAGACTGAGACATGGATGGAATGGGGAAAAGGGGGAAATAATGTTAAGATGCTTGGATGTCTTTTGAATCATGGTTTTCCTTGCAATATATTATGAAACACACACTGGAGGGGAAGAGAAAGGAATAACCAGAAATATCAACATGGAAAGCTTGTAAGCCCGTCTTCTGCCTATAACTGATTGGAATACCTAAAATGGGGCTACAATATGTGTAGTTAAGGAGGTTTCCTGAGGAGCCTCTGTATTACATGGGAGTATAGGTGGAAGCCCAAACCACATCCAGACCTTCAGAGACAGGACATTTTCCACTTGAAAGAGCAAGCAGACCAGCCGGGAGCAGCTAGAAAACCAGAAGATACTTCTTGAAAGAAGGACCTGCAGGAAAAATACAAAACAATAAGGGCAGTCTGATTGTTACCACAAGAACATACAGGTTGCTTGCCCAGGAGACATCAAGGCAAGTGGTCGGATCCTCTCGGTGTAAATTCTCTTCGAATATTAAGACACAAGGGAAATATACACTTTGATTGACAACCATGCAAGTCACCCAGAAGGGGAAGTGACTGAAGAACATCAATGAAGTGGCGAGCTAAGCCCTACATAGTTCAGCAAACTACTGTGAACCCGGGTGGAGACCTGGTCGGCCAGTAGCGAGGCAACACCTGGGGACTCATGGGCTCAGAGTCAAGGACACAGCCACAGAGGATTAGAGTGGAGAGCGGGGTGGCCAGCCGATAAAAAGAGGCCGGACAGATAAAAGAACACCCACACTTGCAGATGATACCCACTTGACCTGGCTTCAATGACTGGATAAACAGAGCTCAACCCAAAGAAGAAAGAAGAGGAAAAAAGCGTCATCTGATACAGTTCGATAAACATGATCTACACCTATGAATGCGGTAGCTCAAAAGAGGAAACAAATCCCAGCTGCAAAAACTATTCCCACCCCCTCCACACAAAGGGTAGACAGGGATGGGCAACTTGGACATTGGCTACCCGAAATGGGGGGAGGGATACAGAGGTAAGAAGTGACTGGCTTACAAGCTTTCAAGAGGGAACCTAGATCCAAAGGGCATGGAGGAAGGTAGAGTCTCCAGTGAATAGTATCCAGCCTGTCCAGGAAGGGCTGATGAAATGAAAAACAGAATGGGTCTCTTGTGATGCAATAGTGAATAATTGTTATCAGGACTGATTGTGAGGGTTGGAAATCTAAAGGTGGACATTTTGTAGCAAGGAGGGGAGTGATTAACTTTTCAGTCTAGGAGTGGAGGACCCTAGGACCATCAATGGAGAAAAGCGGAGAGAGGGATCCTACCCAGAGAAGCGGTGAGGCCTGAGATGGAGGCAGAGAAGACGACGTCAAGAGATGGTGTGGCTGGGGACTCGGGATCAGGAGATGGAAAGGGGCTGAGGACTGTGGTGGGGTGTGCAGGCTTACAGGGTACACCCTTTGGTTGGGTGATGATGCATGGACGGGATGGTAACTATGCCAATGAAATGACAGATGATGGAATGAATATAAAGCTAATGTTCTCCCATGTAGACTATCACACAATTCACAATAAAACATTAAAAAAAAAGAAAGCATCAAAGAATCAAAGGATGTATTGCATTTAGGCAAATATGCTGCAGAAGACCTCTTTAAAGTGTTCAAGAACAAAGATGTCACTGTGAGGACTAAGATGTGCCTGATCCATGCCTTGATATTTTCTATCAGCTCATAGGCATGGATGATGACTAAAGAAGACCAGAGAAGAATTGATGCATTTGAATTATGGTGTTGGTGAAGAATATTGAAAGTACCATGAATTTCCAGAAGAACAAACCAGTCTGTTTTGGAAGAAATATGGCAGAGATTACTCCTTAGAAGCAATGGTAGCAAGACTTTGCCTCTCGTACTTTGTATATGTTGTCAGGAAGGACCTTATGTTTTGTAGAGTGTCAACGAAAAAGAGGAATGCCCCCTACTCACCCAAAGATACAGATTAACACAATGGCAGCAGTAATGTACTCAAGCATCACAATTGTGAGGATGGCACAGGACCAGGTATATTTCATTCATTTGTAGATAAGGTAGCTATGAATCAGAACCCATGTGACATGGCACTGAAGATTAATGCACTGGACTACAGAGTCGTTTGAATTGAAAGGTCAATGGTTCAAGCTCACGAGCTGTTCCTCGGAAACCCCATACAGGGTCTCTGTGGGTTGGCACCAACTCGATGGCACTTAACAACAACAAAAATATTCCTTTTCAGGGTTATAATCCATATGAAATATGATAAAGTAAGCAAGGCACAGAGAAAGCATTAATAGGACACCAATACATTGTCATTGTTCTACATTTTCAACCCACTCTGGCTTTAGCACCTATCAAGATATCCAGCTCCATCACTAGGTTATGAGGTGCTCTTGGGTGGATTAGGAAAAGGCACCCCTTTGATTGATGCCACTCACCAGGCACATAGGTGCAGGTGACTGGGCATCTTTGGCAGTACGTGCCTGCACAGATATCTAAAGTGGTTCTAAGGGTAGCTTATAGTGAAATTGATGCCTTCCATATAGGGCAACCATGTTTCCCAGTTATCTCTGTTTTCCTAGTGCCTTTTCATGTTCACAGGTATCCCCGTTTGGACATTAAGTTAGGAAGTATTTCTACTTAAAAACAATAAAATAAAAACTATGGTTCTGAAGTTCAAGACACAAAAGGAATGAGTTTTGATATATGGTGGGTAGGAGGGTTGGATAAGATTGGGGTTGGTGAGTAGGCAGGAGAAGAGTAGAGAGATTCTCGCCGTGGGTAAATGATATGATTAAAAGTCAAAAGCTAAGGCTATGTATAATCTTGAACTTACACAGATAATGGATAATTGTTGCCAGATGGGAAACTTTTTTTTTCTTTCTATTATCCCTTCACTCCATCTCCTCACCAAGCATGAATATCTACTAGGTGTGAATCTCCCTTATCTCTTCTATTATTATTGTACCAATAAAATAAGGGCTTATGAAAAGAGCCTCTGAGCCATTGCTAGCTAGATTTCTACAGAAAATGGAATCAAATTGAAAGAGTGGCCTTCCTATTTTATGTTGAAAGAAAATGTTAACTTGTTAACACTAGGCCGTACACCATATTCCATACCCAGGAAGAGCAACATATGAAAAAGAGATGGGCAAGTCACCTTTGGTATCTGAAAGGGGGATGGATTGGATGCTGTTATCATGAAAGCCTATCTGTAGACTGCTGGAGCCAGAGCTTTAGACCTGTAGACTTTAGCTTCTGTTTAAAAAAAGAAAGAAGGAAAAATAAATAAATAAATACAGCTGAGGTGTGAAGATGTCTCTCACTTCCTAGCTGTGTGACCTGGGGTGTGTGACTTAGCCTCTGTGAGCCCGTTTTCTCTCTGGGGCCTTGGGATGATCATACATACTTACAGAGTTTTTGTAAGAAGTCAATGAACTAATAAATGTGAAACATCTAGCACTGGGCCCACCATAGGTTTGCCAAATGTCACTTTTCTTCCCTACTCCCCTTCCTTGGAGAAATCCAGGGAAAGTATTTATATACACATCATTGACTTTCTTTTCTGGATTTTCTTTTTTTTTTACTTGCAGAAAGTCAGAAACATGGCCCTGGATGATGTCGTGATCCTGAACGTGGACACCAACACTCTGGAAACGCCCTTTGATGACTTACAGAGTCTCCCAAATGATGTGGTGGGTGATGAGCTTCTGATACTCTAAGTCCTGTGAGCTCATGCTACATGACTGTTGGATGTGGGGAGGAGAGAGTTGTGGTTTTTCCATGCCTAAGACCTGTTCTCTTTTCCCTCTGGAACCTTTGTCTCAGTGTAGAATGTTACGAGGCGGTTGATTTCTTGAGCTTTGCTTTGTTCTTAGAACTTTCATCTGAAAGATTTTGATTCCAAGAGCTTAATAGCTCCTCTTTGTATAGAAGCAGGGGTCTTGCCATCTCTCTCCAATGTGTTACTACCTCCGCTTCCCTCTGTATAAAGCACAGAAGGTGGGTGGGGGAGGGGTTTCAGTGTAAGCAGTTTGGGGACTTGAACCTGCATTATTTTCCTGGACCATCATCAAACAAAGTTGTTTCCCCCTATTGGGTTTTCTGTTGCCAGTGTTTTGAATATTGCTACATGATCCCCAAATCTCTTTTTTGTTACCTCAGATCTAGGCAGAATGTGGATTCTTTGTAGCAAAAAACCATCAGCAGCTACATTAGCCACTTTGGCTATATGCCTATCTCATTGCTACTCAGAGCTGCCTCGTGGGTAGCTGTTTGAAGTAGACCCTTTCTACCCTTTTGTTTGTAAGAATGAAGAGGGTTAGAGCTTACAGCGAAGTGTAGTTTTGGTATTTCTGGCTTGGCCTCCATGGTTCTGCCGGCTAGAAAAATCTATAATGTTAGTCTGGTTTCTAGACTGACAGGAGTCTGTGTTCCTGCCATGTGACACTAATACTATGGTTGTGTCCTGGGAGGGGGCAGGGTGCTTTACCTAGTGGGCACTGGTACTCCGTTACCTCTGGCAGCCCTGGTGTGCTGTGGAGTTAACTGTTCTGGAGGCGCATGCTGTTTGTTGATGAATGGCTTGCAACATGGCTTCAAAACTCTCTGCCCTATGCTCCTGTGACATTTTGGGGAAATTGCTTATGCTCCATAAAGATCCATTTCAGTTGTAACATAACAAAACAGTGACTTCTTTCATTGAGTTACTCTGTGCTAGGCACCGTACTAAGCACTTGTCAATGACTCTTGACACTACTCTGAGGGAATTTTTTCACTCCCATTTTCCCCACCTGAGTTACAAAGAGCTAGAGCACCCAATCGTATTGCTTTCTCTAGATCTCTTCTGTATTCCAGAGCATATTCCATTAACGGTACAGCCCTATGGAGTAGGTGTTCTCTCCTTTTCACAGTAAGAAAACACCTCAGAGAGTATGTGCCTTGCTGAAAAAAGTCATACAGCTCATCAGGGTCAGAGCTGAGGTTGTAAGTCCAATCTGCAGGACCCTAAAGCCTGAGCCGCTTCCACACTGCCTCCATCTGAGGTTAAGAGAAATGACAGAGAACTTAGAAAAATAGCAATACAGAAGCATGAGAGCTACTGCTGAGTGTGTCAGGACGGGATGCTTGCTTGGTATCCTAGGGCCTCATGACCAAAATTTTAGTTACTTTGGTCCAAGGAATGTGAAGTGTCCACTCTTGTTCCCTTGCAGTGGGAAGCCTCTCTCTTTATCCCTTTAAGCCATGGAGTTCACCAGCAACGAACAACAACACAAGTCTTCAGCATGAACCTCAGGGAAGTGAACCTGAGGTACATGAAGTGCAAGGAATGGCCACAGGCCCCGAGGCAGCTTGGGATAAGGAACTTAAGGCTCTGAAACCATGCTGTGGACTGACTGGTCCCTTCTATATGCAGACAGTGTTCAGACCCTATGCTGGGCATTGGGGAGCAGAGATGAAGCAGATCCAGTCCTTGCCTTCACAGAGCATATTCCAAACTGTTATCAGGACAGACTGAGGGTTGGAAATGTAAAGGCAGATGTTTTGTAACAAAAAGAGGGGAGTGATTGACTTTGCAGTCCAGGAGCGGAGGTCCTGGGACCATCAAGGAAGAAGAGCAGAGTGTAGGACACTACCCAGAGAAACAGTGATGCTAGAGATGGAGGCAGAGACGATGACGTGGAGAGATGAAGCAGCTGGGACTTTAGACCCAGAGAGGGAGAGGGGCTGTGTGCTGACGACCTGGGGGCAGGCTTGCAAGGTTAGTTGATGATGCATGGAGGGGATTGTAACCATGGCAATGGAATGATATACAATAGGATGAATGTAAAGCTAATGTTCTCCCACGTAAACTATCACATAATTCACAATAAAACATTAAAAAAAAAAAAAAGAGCATATTCCAGGAGGGGAAGCAGACCTGTAAACTACATGCGTATTGTAGCATCCCATAGCAGATGCCACAGAGGGACTAGGAATTGGGCACAGTAGGACGTAGGGGTCAGAGTGACGAAATGTTAGGGAGGGCAGTAGCAGCTTCCTGAAGATGGCAAATTCTGGGTGCCTTTTCAATGACAAATGAGGGAGCTTCTGGCACCCAAAAGAAATAGGACAAGTAATTTTTCCTCTTGATCTCAGTTCAAAAAAACAACCTTCTAAAGACAAATGAATATAAGACCCCCAACAAGATGGCCTGGCACAGTGACAGCAACAGTGGGCTCAAACATAACAGCAAATGGGAGGATGACACAGGACAGAGCAGTATTTTGTTGTGTTGTGCATAGGATCGCTATGAGTTGGAACCAACTGGGTGGTACCTAGCAACAACAACAACAAGACAAAAAAAAAAAAAAAACCACCTTTAACTTACTTAGATATTAGATACAAGTTCCCATTGATGACTTTGGAATCAGACCTTTTCTCATTTACTGACTGTGTGATCTTGGACAAAATACTGAATTCTCTGAAACTTAGTTTCATCATAGGGGTTTGTTATATGAACTAAAAAGAATATATACGAGTATAAGACATGTAAACATACATCCTATGTGTACTAATAGATGGTAATTAATGAAGTTGAACCGTGGATGCTGACCATAACTAGCATGGCATTCAACACCTTCCTTTGTGATGTGATTTCCCTCCCTGTATTGTAGGCATATGGAACCTCTAGTGGTTCCCCCAAGCATAAATGTTTTTCATACCTTTATACTATGTATAGAGGTGTTTTTTGTCCCAAATGTCCTATACTGTATGTCAATCTCTTACTCATTCTTCAAGATACACCATAAACATTATGCTGTAAAAACCTTCCCTATTCTCTCCAGGAAAGGAGCTCTGGTAGCGTAGTGGTTATGAATTGGGCTGCAAACATTAAGGTCAGAAGTTAGAAACTACCAGCTGCTCCGTGGGAGAAAGATGAGGCTTTCTGCTCCCGTAAAGATTTACAGCCTCGGAAACCCTGTACAGGGTCGCTATGAGTCGGAACTGACTCAGCGGGACTTAACAACAGCAACATTCTCTCCAGGAATATTTGACCATGTCTTTCTCTACATCCCCATAGCCCCTTGTATTACTTTTATAACTATACTTATCAAACAGCACTGTGCCTTATTACACATGTCTGGATTTCCCTTTTAATTGTGAGCTTTTTGGGACAGGAATTCAAGTTTTATTCACCTTTGCATTCCCATTGGGTAGATAGCTGGAAGGTTGCAAGGGGCGTATGGATTGAGTTAATTTTGTGTAACATAGCATCTATGGCAAAAATTTTAATGAGCCCTGATGGCACTGTAGGATAAGCACTAGACTGCTAACCATGAGGTGGGCAACTCAAACCCACTAGCTGCTTCATGGAAAAAAGATGAAGCTTTCTCTCCCCTAAAGATTTACACCTTTGACCCACTATGTTGTTGTTGTTAAGTGCTGTAGAGTCTATTCCGACCCATAGCGAACCTGTATAGGGTTTCCAAGGAGCAGCTGGTGAGCTTGAACCACCAACCTTGCAGTTCAAATGACTTTGCAGTCTGACACGTTAGCCCAAAGCACCACAAAAGGACTCCAGTTACAAGTGTTAGAAGGCATTTATATCAACAATGAGTCAAAATCTGCTTCATGGGAGTGAGCTTGTTTTTTGTTTTTTGCTGGAAATTTTATTAAAAGAGGCCTTGGTTCTGCATCTAACCATTATGAAGTAGTTGATACTGAATTTATCCTCCCACCATTAACAACTTAAATATGTAAAACAACTGTTTAAAAAAAAAAAGGAACAACACAGGGCAGACAAGGCAGAACTATGATCCCTGGGAGAATGAAAACCAGTAAAGTAAGGCCTAAAACCCCCCTGGGTTTCTGTGTTGAGGAATTTTCTGGACCTTGGTGACAGCATGGTGATCCCCAGCAGAGCACAACAGTCTTAATGAGTTGAAGAGTCAAAGATCTTAATTTAGGGAAGAGATAGTTTAAATTTGTGGGTCACAGTATCAGACAGGAAGCCACAAAAGAGGTCCAGAAACTTTCATTAGGTTCTCTTGACTAATCTACCAAAGGCTAATCTGATTGTGTATAGTGTCAAACTCTTGGCTGGGATGGATAAAATGAACAATTCTCAAAGCTCACACAGGACTGGAAATCATTCAGATTCTGACCAGAGTACAGAGACCTCACTGAATACACAGGACAATCAGTCGGAACCCCAGAAGAACCATATCTTGACAGTAGGTCTAAATTAGCTCTAAGTAAAGTTATTTTGTTGTTAAGTGCCATCCAGTCAGTTCTGACTCATAACTACCCTATATAGGGTTTCCAAGAAGCGGCTAGTAGATTTGAACTGCCGTTCAAACCAACCTTGCAGTCCAGTACTACTTATCCTACAGCACCATACCAGGACTGCTGCCTTGCACTAACAAAGCTTAAAAACAGGCCATGAAGAGCTAAAGAGAGGGCTTCAGGGATGCTGATAATATGTTGGGCTTTTGTTTTTTAATCTAAAATTCTGGTTGCATGGATAAGAAAGTCTTAAACTGTATACCCATAATGTGTACACTTTTGTGCATGTGTGTTAAATTTTACTTAAAAAGTAGAACTTAAAAAAAGAAAAATCCTTGGAAGGACCAACCCAGTATAGAAGAAATTTAATCTATCAAAATAACCCTTAACACTCTTTAACAGAAGACAGAATCTAACACTCAACAAC